GTAGGGAATTTTATTATGTAAACAAATATGCTATGTTTTCTCAGCCTGTTCTATTTGAAAACAATTTTTCAGCATTCAGAATACCACAAATAACAGATAAAATTGGGAGAGGTTCCTTCTTGAGTAAGCTGGCACAGGAGTGGAATAACCTTGCCTAGAACAGGAGGCCTGAGCTAGCATAATTTTAGCAGGCTTTCAACAGTAAGTGCACCTTGAACAATTTCAGGAGTGCTGTATTTACTGTCTACTCTTACCTGAGCCAAGAGCAGCATTATCTTCCCCCCCAAATTTCAGGCAAGGCAAGTGACTATTGCATGTTCCCACATGTAATGTTGCTTTTTTGCAAATCCTGTATCTAGAGGTTTTCCTGCATTTATGAGTTAGCATGGCTCAGAGGCATTTGCAGGACTAAGATGGGCAAGTTCCTGACAGAGATGGTTTTCACACCTTCCTAGTATTGCAGTTAGAACAGTGGCCTGTGCAGCTGGACTCCAGAGTGAATGGGAAAGAGAAATGATTCTCAGCAAAGTAATTTCTCTGCTGGTTTGGGGACTTTGATCTCCCTTCAGCTGCCAAATAGTCAGTGCATTTGTAAAAATGTGATGATAGAGGCTTCACCAGGCACTTACAGCTCCCAGTTTTTCATGATCTTGGTCATTCAGGTGGGTGCTTTTTAGAAGCCCACGATTGTCCAATTTGGAGAGAGCTGTTCTGACAGGAGAGGCATTTTGGTTGCAAATCATCAGACATGGGTGTTATTATAGGAGAGGACAGAGTTACAGTAAGGAGACTAGATGCAGATTAAGGGACCCACAGTACCACATATGGGAAGGCTAAATTTGTGAAATATACCAACATGAATTTGAAAAGTTAGACTAGGAATTACCATTCTACAGACCATGTGTGTGATCAGCTAAAGGGGTCCCAAGGGATAAAGCAGCTATAATTTGATCTTATTTAGGCCAGAAGGAATTTGCTGGTTAAGCAAGTAGCCCTGCCCCACAACAGCTTTTTAGTATGACCCAGTTGAACGGGGTGCTTCATGATATGGCCAGCTTAAAGCATATGCTAATAATTCTATTTGGGAAGGTATGTGCATGAATGCCTTGCTGAATGGGCCTAGGAGAAGAAAAAGTGCTGATGGGACAGGATGTCTATTCTTTCTTCCTCTTTGCAATCCTTTTGCCACATCTACAGCAAAATAAGCAGCATTTGACAAGAATGAAGAGAGCAGTGGCTGTACAGGTGAGCAAGAATGCCAGAACATCCAGGCAGTGGTACTGGTACCAGGTGAGATGGTGAGCAGCTGGTCTCAAGTGCTTTGCTCCTTTGTGACGCATGACAAATTCAACCCAGAAGACAGCTCTGTCCAGAGGCTTAACTGGCTGGTCATGGTGTATCCTGGATAACCTTAAAGCATTTTCTTTATAGCTGAGGGAAAAAGAAGAAACCAATGAGATTTCTCACCGATTCCTGAAACAACCCATTCAGCACCTGCCAGTCTTGAGGAAGGTATACAGCCCTGCTTTTACTTTCATCAAAGATATTTGAAACTGGTCCAGTTTACACTTATCTGCATAAAATTGGATTATTAACAGTAATAGAGAAAGCCAATCTTTTACAAAGAAAAGTTACTCAAAATTATTCCAGATACTCCTTTTAAAAAAGCAGCATGGCAACATTTGCAGCATTTTCTTTTCTGAGATGATACAGTGTGCTGGGTTTGGCTGGGGTAGAGTTAATTTTCTTCATAGTAGCTGGTATGCGCTATGTGTAGTGATAGGACAAGGGGTAATTGTTTCAAACTTGAAAAGGGTAGATTTAGATTAGATATTAGGAAGAAATTCTTCACTGTGAGGGTGCTGAGGTGCTAGAATGTGTTGCCCAGAGAAGCTGTGGATGCTCCCATAGGTACAGTGGCCTAAGGATATTGGCAACTCGGGGTAGCAGAAGGAATTGTGGCTATACACAGAGTAGATATAATACAGCTACAATTGTCAAGGGAGAGAGAGAGCAGAAAAATGTCTCGAGTTGCTCTGGGTTTTCCAAGAACTGTTTTTCTCAAAGGGGTCATAAAACATAGTATGAGGAAAATGAAATTACTGATCTCTGAGAAATGCTGATGCTCGGAAAGGAAAAACAGTTTTCATCTGAAACCCAAACTGCAGCTACTCAGTATTTTTGATTCCCAGAAGAGCCCACAGAATTTCTCACAGCAGCAGCCCAAGATTTTAATAACCTCATCCCACTGTAAGGCAAGAAAAAAACTCACGTGGAATTGTTAATGACTGTATTCAGTGCATCAACTAAATCCGGCGTTGTCAGTGTGCTGAAATCCAGCTCGACTGCAGCTCCCTTTGCCCTCATGTGAGCAATGTTGTCATGCTGGTCGGCAAACATGGGAATCCCAACCATCGGGATCCCGTGG